AAAAAAAAAACCGCTGCTCAAGTGTTGGAGACTTGCAAACCATGAGAAGAATAGCGTGGAATAATCCATGAATATTTTAATGTTCCATCGTCACGGATTTCATCATCCAACCGGCCCTGCATTGCAGGATAATGTTTTGCGCATGCGCGCAATTATGGAATGACTATCCACCACCACCACCGCCACCACAGCCACCACCACCGCCACCGCCGCCGCCACCCACAACCCACCACCCACCACCCACCACCCACCACCCACCGCCACCGCCACCCGCCACCCACCACCACCCCCTGCCGCCGCTGCCACCGCCGCCGCCGCCACCACCGCCGCCGCCGCCGCCACCACCACCACCACGACCCAGGGAGGATGACTTTGTGCATTTTCTCAGGAGTCGTTCGGGGGCAATGGTTTTGAACTACTGCAACTGGGGCTGTCAGGTTGATATTTGGTACGATCTGGACTGGTATTATGGTTCGGGATGTTCTGAAGTCTTTTACAGTTTCTGCAGTTCCTGCGACGCATTGCTCGGCTTTTACAACAAATTCTTGTTCCCCAGACAAGGGTCTATAAGGGTTCTTATATGTAGACGGGGGTCATCACGCAGTTTCGGGCTCAGAGCACCGCCGGGGTGCTATCTATCTGGGGAGTTTGTCAGTATTCTTCGTTGCTTCAACTATCCAGCCGTGTTGCAGGACCATTGAGAAGAAATACCGAAAGGGTATTTGATACAAAGGCGTGTGACGGCAGGCGCTTCAAACGAGTGCTCCTCATATCTTCTTTATTCAGCCGGAAGCGTGACGCATTCATTCTTGGACCGCAGCTGAACAGGCTCGTACACCTTCGGGGCAACAGGATCCTTTGCAGAGATGCATTCTGTTCTGCTAGTGGCACTGCACAGCTAGTGTGTGGCTCGTTTAATTAGTTTAATTATGCCCATGTATGGCTCTAGAGCACCCGTCCTCATCATCTTCTGTAGCTGGAGGCTTGTCACCTGCAAGCTTATCGCTGCTGTGTGGGGTGTGCGTGTCCTAAGGTCCTAAGCCAGCTGTGCAGGTGTGGCAAAACTTCTGCACGCTGCACAGTTCTGAGCCAGGGCCAGCACGCTGGAAATCACACCACCACTGCGTCGGGGCCTGTTGGTGCTGGCCCTCGCTTGCTTTGATTTCGGGTTCATGTTATTTCAGAATATTTCAGACTAGGTCTCCCGGCTGTGCTGCTGGCCAAGTTCTCCCCGAAGTGCTCAGACTGAAGGCATCAAGTCACATGATGCTTCCAACGTTCTCATATTCACTACATATTCGTTGCTTGAAGGTATAACTTGTGCCCTGCTGCCAACGGTCTTCAGAAGCATGTGCAATTTCCTGGTACCTTTTAGTCGGAGGCATGCACATGTGGAGCTCAGCACTGCTTGGCAGCAGGCTGCAAATTCATGGACAATCTTGTCAACCTGTTGCTTGTCCTCCACTTTGCGTGACTCAGCATTTGGAGCTGTTTGGTAGTTCCTACACGGTGCCCGCAACCTCAATACCTGCCTACTCTCTAGCACTTGCTGCGGAAGCGCTAAGAAACTCCTTCTCGCGGGACAGCTTGTCGGCAAAAACGCGCGTGCACTCGTGCCTGCAAAGGCAAACCGATTCAAGAGGATCTTATTCTGGATCTTATTCTTGTAAGAACATATCGTTTGTCCAACTAGAACCTACAGTTTGCACTTCGCGACACGCAAAGACATGATCCTTTCGAGTGGGGTTTTTGTACAACCCCACAGCGGTTTTGCGTTGCTGGTGCCTCGCCCCACTATGTTTTCATAAGCCTTAAATCTGTGCTGTTGGCTTGGGGCACCAGCGACGCAAGTCTTCAAGTCCAAACGGATGATTATTAGAATGAAGTGCTCAGTGACGTGACGTGTAGGCAGTGTTCATCTACAACTTGCGGTATCTGCTCTTGAAGACAGAGCAGGGGTTGGGTGCCTGCGCCTGCTTGCGGGTGCTGCAGCCTTTAACATTAAAAAGGGCAACAGAAGCTGGTAGGCAGCAACATTTTTTTCGCTGCTTGAGTACCCAACATGTCAGACTTCAAGCTCACGTGAGCATTTCCACTGTGCGAAGTTTACCTTTCAAATATGCAAGGTGTCAGCTGAATGTCATGAGCGAGCCACAAGTAGGGTTTCCTGTCTGGCATGCTGGGCAGAACTATGCTCACCCGAGGTTTTGAACAACCTAAGTTTTTGTGTACAGTGTCGTGAGCTGCACGACCATTCTTGGCCGTCCTTTGTCAAACAATGCGGATACGAGATTTCAATTGAGGAGAACTGGATTAAGACGTTCGACTTCGAGTCGAGGCGTGGAGTCATGAGCTCTAACTCTCTTCCCAAATAACCAGGGCAAAAAAAATTAAGCTGTATTTTCAAGACCCCAAAAAGAAGCCCAAAAAGGTTAAAGCTCTTCATTGTCTGCTGAACGTCCCCAGCGTGGTCGCGAGGGACATTCTGTGTAATTCTTCTGTTGGCTAAGTGAGCTAAGTTTCTCGATGCTTGATTGCTTCGCACTCCAAAAAGGTAAAGTTTCTCGACAAATGTTCAATGCCTCCTCTTCGATTTGGTTATGGCTTGGTGGGCCCAATGAAGTCAAGCAAAGCTGGGGAAGGTTTATGGTGAGGCCAGAAAGCTATTGGCTTCAAAGGCCAAGCCTTCAAACATGAAGAAAGGGCAATATAATCATCTTGGGAATCTGCAATACCATGCCACCAGAAGCCATCGATGTGTTCTGAACACGCTTCTAAAGTCAGGCTAGGCAATCAAATCCCAAAGGAATAGTAGTCCAAGAGATCCGCTGAACCTCAATACCATAAAGATTTGGCGCAGCTCAATTATGTAAAGGCTTTTGTGGTTGGCGAATGACAAAGCCGCAAAAGCTATTGATGTTACAGGCCTTCCTCTGCTCCACGAAACAAGACTAAGCTGAACATCTCCGTTCCCTTCCCTCTCCTGATCAACTGCCATGCTAACCATGCTAACCCAACTAGCCGGATAGCCGGATGCCCTATTCCGTTATTGATTCTAATAGGAACGCCAGGGGGTTCCCCTTTTCCAGCAACCAGGATCCAACAGTACAGCAGATCTTCATTTGGACCCGTTGAATTTCAACGAGATGCAAGCCTAAGGAATTAGGGAAGCGCTTCGAACGCTTTGCTTAGAGGCACCCCCTCAACTAACAACGAGCACTCCGTCCAGCGAGCTTTCACTATTTGACTTGATAGCGTCTTCTCCCTCACTACTACGCTGTGCCATGTCACCTCGGGCCGGCCTCCAGAGCGACACGAACCTCTCTTCGTCCACAATCTGAGTACAGGAGGAAAGTGAATGAACTTCTGACACAGGAAAACTAGGTGCTGCTGCATGTTGTGATGTAGCAACACGGGACATTCGACACATGTTCGAGCACTTGCAGCTCCGAACTGAGTGCGCGAACTACAGCCTGCGGCGTCTCCAAGATGCCCTAGACAAGCGCATGCGGCTGCAGAAATCACATGGAATATAGTGATGCGAGTCACCAAAGAGTGGGATAACGCACTGATTGGCCCACACCCCTTATAGGATGAGGAAGTTGCAGCCAACAATGGCGAAGCAACCATTTAAGATCCTCATTCTCAAAGCCTGCCACGCGAATGCAGTCTAAGTAAACACAGTACATCGGCCACGAGCCACCATGCACAGCTTAACCATTCCTAGATTAATCATCCACATGAGCTACAAGTACAGTCATTATTGCAACAATTCATTGACATGGGTTCCTTGTGAAGAACTAGATGAATGACTATGCTACATTACACGCGGAACCCAGTGTCCACCTTTTTGTGGTCCCTGCACACACACGGAAAGGCGTGAAATTACGGGGTTGGTGCGCGACTGCTGGATTTATATTCACCCTTGGCCTTATAAGAATAAGAATACGTTTTAACGATGTTAGGAACGGCAACGCCTGCTACATAGAAGTGAAATTACAAAACTGGATTCAGGGAAGGCAACCCTTACGGGGGAAACATGGTAGTTGTCGTGACCGTCGTCTTAGGGGGCTATGAAGAGACCTTCGGGGTAGGGCAAGGGAATGGGGGCTCCCATTCATCATGACCACCACCCAAGTGCTTCATGAAAGGGAAAGATAAAGCAGGTACGTTTGCGTGGGGTGGGGGGGGGAATTTCGTTGGACAGAACACTCCTACACACCCTTCTCTAGGGTTGGGCTGGTCACATCAGCAAATGGTCGAGCCTGTGGATTGTGACAGCCTTAACCTTAACTCCTGTTGCAACATCGTGTTGTGACATCATAAAACGGTCAAGCATGCGGGTTGTAAAAGACCTGGAATTGACAAACACGGGTCTCGCGCACACACACACACACGCTGAGGGTTAGTTCTTGAGTTACCTTCTTTCTTTGTCTTGTCAGGTTGCTTGTTGCGGCTCAAACGTCAATGGCCTGTTGCACTGGCATGCGGAAACAGCACACGACTGTCTTAATATGTCCGCAACATGACTGTGTTTACATGTTTGCAACTTGACTGTGTGACGCGCGTGCTGCACGGGTTGACATGTCTTAAACATGGACAGAAAGGAAGTCTTTGCTCGGAAGCAAGAAGCTGCACACAGGAGCGTACATGTTTGGCTCAACCACTATTACAACCCCACTTGACGAAATCCACGGCCACAAATTCACAAGACAAAAGATCCACCTGAAAGACGCGACTGAGTTCGCGCAGATTGAAGATGTAGTGGAACCTGTGGCGCGTTGAAAGTTGGATGCTTGCTCACCTACTCCCTCTCTTCGGCCCATGCCCTGCTGCAATTTCATCCCTGTGTCCAGATGAAGTTGTCAATCCAGCCCAGCCACCTTGAAGGTGTTGGCAGCAGTACCTTCTGCACCTGGCAATCACTGCAGGGACCCTCGACATTATCAGCCGCAACAGAAAGCCTGTACCAGAACAGGAAGGCGCATCTGAAGGAAAGAATTGGTAAGTAAACATGTGCTTGGGCAATGACAGCGGAATTCGTGGTTCGATTTTCATGGGCACGCCCGCAAACTGCTCAACGTGCAAAGGGGTTATGGGCCCTATGAGCTAGTACTCTGATATACCTCATAGCTACACAAGCGCGATGCTGCGCAAAACACAAAGTTGATGTCTGGCCTTTGTCCAAACACCGATCGTGGCGGATGTGACGTTGCGAGTGAGCGAGAGGATGCCTGCGCACTGTCACGATGGTACAGTAGTTTCAACTCAAAACATCATATGATGTGCGCAGCATGCGGCTGTGGATGTGCAGTGGCTCATCCTCTGCCTAAACGCATGGTGAGTCTTGCTACCAGTATAAACCATTGCCAGCATTGCCGTCTACCGTCTGGATCCTTTTTGCTTTCGTTATTCTCAAGAATTCTCAAGCTTTATTAACCACGTCAGCCAAACTGGAGCTAGTTATCTTGCGCTGACCTACGCATCTATACTTCGCCGAGCTGTTCTTGCTGTTTGACCACTTCGCTCCAAGATGCCGCAAGGATGCACGCTTTGCCCAGCATGATCTAGCATGTTGCTGTCTCGACATTCGGCGCATGGGCAGCAGAGTCTGTGAGCTAAGACTGGGCGCATCTATCTGCAGCTTGCACAACCCTACCAGACAATCGCAAGAGTCAAACATTTTGGCCTGGACTGGTGCCTTGCTTCGCGTTGAATCCTCAGTTGAAGCTGGCTTGAGATTTTTTGCGGGGGGTCGATTGCGCTTGCTCCTTCCTCCATATCCAAGCTTGGGTAGCGGCGGGCACGAAGAATATTTCCATAAATGTTGTCAGCACCTCGTGAGGAATGACAAGGCTGGCAGAATTCTGCCCGCTGGGATAGGCCCGCACTTTCACGACTAGCATTGCAAGTCTTGCACATGTAACTTCTGCGGCGTCCGTAGCAGCGTTCACCCACAGCGACCCAGATCTGAGACAAGAACTCACCGTGGAGGGCAGAACCTGAGTACAAATACAGAATCTGATGGGAGCTCTTTGACAACAAATGCCGACGGACTGCCAGCCACTGAGCATAAGATTCCCACCATGTTGAACGAGAAGAATTTGGACTTCAACCTCATGGGCTCAGAATCCAGAATCTAGGTAGCTGAATGTAGCTGAGGTAATTCCAACTCAAAAGCCGCCCACTTCTGCAACAAAGTTCGGACATTTAACATGGGCACAATGTTCGGCAGACTCGGCTGATGCGACTTCCTGTAGCCAGCTTGGGCGCGCGCCGATTGGGGATGTCCTTACACACGCAACAACTTTCTTCTCTGGACTCTGGACTGCTGATGCTCGTTACAATCACCCTCCTGTACGAAGAGCTTTGCGCTGTCACCTTCTCTCCTCAAGTTTTGGCGAGGACGCCATACAGCGCTGGTGTCGAACTTTTCGACTCATAAGTCAACGACAACGAACGACCAAGAGACCCCCAAGCTTCTGAGCACAAGCAAACTCGCCCCTGGATACGGCTTTTCCTCGGTTGCGCTTCCACTTCTCTGCTGGGTGGTGGGTACCGCAGCAAAAGGCTTGCATGCCAAGTATTGCTGGCCTCTGACCTTCCGTCCACAAGCTGAGTAGCCCCTCAATCTGTTCTCGTGTAGCCGGCAACAGCTACAGAAGGTCAAACACCGTGTCGCAAACTGCATTGCGATCGTTAAAGAGGGCTCAATCCAGCCAGGCTGGTTCGCATGCCCAGGTGAGACTGCGCGCGCTTTCGATGGAAAACTAATGAAAAAGCAGCACGCTAATTGGTTGCATCTCCGGCTCTTCAGGGGCCACTTAACTTTGGAGACCCAAGCGAAAACAAAAAGTCGTCAGTGGGCGTTGGCTAGATTTGAAGTCACCTCCATTCAACTCCAATACTATAATCGTTCATGTTCTGAGTCTAGTGCACGCCATATTGCCGACCTTTGCAGGCATAAATCGATAGGTCGGGCCGGCGCGAGATGATCAAGACCCGCTCTTCGTCCAGCCCCATAGATTCTCTTCGTCTGACTCCTTAGGCGGTGCAATCTTGGCACAGGATAGTGTGGGGGTTCGGTTGCAAATTGTATTAATTATTCTTTTCTGCGTGATGTCCTGGGACAGTCCTCGCTACCTGCTACACCTGAGTGGAGATCCTTCCTACACCTTAGTTTCCTCTGCAATCCGTGATTCCCTGCTAAACTGGATAGGACATCTTATGCTTCCCGACGATTGCCATCAAACTTCTGGTCCTGTATTCGCAACGAATCCCAGGACTCAGGCTCCCCCGGAAAATCAAAGAGGAAACCATGCACTTCTCGAAGCGGCGTTTCTGACAAAACGCTGAATTGCGAACCAAACTCAACATTTCCTAGCAAAATGAAAACGAACCATGCACTTGTGCAGCCTTGCGATATTTCTCGGGAAGAAATGAGATCCCTCACGTGAAATTAGCCGCTGACCCGCGGCAAAAAGTCAAAGCCCGACTTGAGCAGGAATCGAATGCTTAGGTCCCCCGCACTTCCTGGTCGTGGCTGCGGTGGCCGGAAACGCAGGGGAAAACTTTGGCCCGTCTTTTTTTGCTTTTTCAGCTTGCGACGCTTGCGCGTCTCATCGCCTTTCCCAATCTTCTGCCGCGGCTTTGACCTGTGCCACCCAATGAGGTCCTGCGCTCTGCCAGTGGCAGCGGCCAGAAATGTGGGGGAAAATTAGTGACTGTCTTTTCGACGCGGCCGTTCTCGTCGCTGTTTTTCGTTTGCCTGTCTGATCCCCTTTCCAAGTCTCCATCCGCAGCCTACCTGCCCCGCGCAGGGCATCTTGTGGTCGGCTGCAAACAACTTGTAACGCTCTTGGGAACTCGCATCAACTACCTGAATTCCAGACCCCACCTTTCATGCTGCTGGTGCTGGCGGTGCCGCGTTGGTGGTGCTGGTCGCGGTGTCCATGCTGCTTGGCACTGGTTTTGTTGGTGTGGTGGAGGTGGCACTGACAGGTGGAGTTGTGGTGATGTTGCTTGTGGGAATGATACTGGTAAGTGGGAGTGGTGGCAGCGGTTGCGGTAGGGGTGGCTGTGGCAGAAATAGACGTGGTACAAAGCACAGACTTTCCACGGCTCTCACAGCAAAATGGACATGGCTGGACTACGACTCACACGTCCCAAAGAAAAGTTTGCGAAGGGTAACGCGAACCCTGGGCGTCACCGTAATTATGATGGAATCACATGCAATCTGTGTTTCGGTGGCTGTCCAACAAAATGAAATAAAGAGGGAGCCCACACAGGCACATGAATTCGCACAGGAGGATCTCTGTATGATATCTGACGGGCACCTTTGCGTACTGCAACAGGTCTTCGGCCCCAACACAAGCCCTTAGCCAGAGCGTGCCTGCACTTTCCGGCCAGCGGAGATGTAAGTGCATAACCCACCAAACTCGAACTGAAGCTTCTGGTGACTCAGGCAGGGGAGTATAGCCAAGATGCCAACCCCAACGAATTACCAAAATGCGCATCTGAAACACGCACGAGTGCTGCTTCCGAGTGTTCGGCAAGAACTATGAGCACAAAACGGAATTCAATGGAATTCATCCAACTCATGCGCGCTAAGGAGCATCGTTTGAGTCAAACTTGTCGTCGTAGGCATGGATCTTCGCAGAAAGGCGCCGGCATTTCCAGCAGAAGAACAAGTTGGTCAAGCAAAGCCTTTGTGGGACATAGCCGCTAGCAACAAGGTGCAGAACCCTGCTGCTTGTACTTGCGCGGAGGCCATGGCAGTTTTGCTCTGCCGGGTTTGCCCGTGCTGGCAGCAGACAGTAGCCCGGATAATTCAGTCTTCAGCAATTACTTTTAACAAGCTACTAACAACTCGTGGCCTTGCCGTGCCAGTGCTTCTCACCTCACTTAACCAAACCTTCCTGGCCATGAAGCAGCGTGAGGACGACCCACAAGGACCAAACGTGCTTTGGATGGCTGAAGTGCTCCACGACTTTCACCAGCGTGAATCTGGATCCTAAGCGCCAGGGAGCATCTTTTGCACACCTAGCGCTTAATCGAAGCCGAAAAATCGGCCTGCTGCTTGTCTTGTACGAGCATGTAATGTGGCAAGCTTAGCTTGTGCGGTCGTACCATGAAGATATATTGAACAGCACCTTATCTGTCGGCATAAATTGATGCGTCGCCTACCTAATGTCATTGCATACAGAAGACCTGCAAACCAAACTGTTCCAGCCGCTTCAGAACCTGACTGTGCACTACCTGAATGGACAATTTTGCAGAAGTACGAGGCTGTAGTCCTTTGCTTGCATCTGCATGCAAGTGCATGCAAGTCTCCCCGAACAAGCAGCTTTGGTTTGGTGTCCTCCGCCATGAAGCAGCCATGGCCTGCAATCTCAGTGGCCCATGTGCGTGCATTATCCAAGAATGCACATTCCACCCCATCACCATACTTTGCACAGGCTTGACGCAAGAAGCAAATCCAGCGGTGAAGGCTCAAGGCAAACACTGCTCTCAGGACATAACCGGTGTCTTATAGCACCGCGCCCTCTGCTCCGCGCACGCAGCTACTCAGCACCTTTGAGTAATCGGCCTAACCTAGCTGCCCTTCTGTAGCTATCACGCTGTCTGAAATCAAGCGGCGAAGGAAAGCTCGTTGCCAAGTGAAAGCATCATACCAATATTCTTCGTCATGCGGCGCGGGGCAATACAGAAACGGCGACTCCTGACTTCCAGCAGCCAGTTTGGCTAGGGTGAGACACTGAGCGCAGCCAAGCCACCCCAGTCCAGTTTTGGTTGTTGTTCACAAACAGCCACACCGGCGACCCACCTTGCAAACACAGCGTGAGCCAACCTAACTCAATCAAATCTTTCCAAGCCCGTGCTCCCGATGAAGTACAACTATCATGGTTCAGGTGAAGCATCCTGCAAAGGCAGGGGACAAACGGAGCTAGCGGCGGTCATGTGCGGTGGACTCATGGTGCTAGCGCTGGCGGTGGCGATGCTGGTGTGCTGGTTGGCGCTGCTGTGTTGTGGCGCCGCTCCTTCTCCTACTGTTTCTGCTCCTTCTGCTGATGCCGGTTGTGATCGGGGCGGTAGTCGGCATGCTGGTCGCGGGTATGATTGGTCGCGTGGCTCTCACTGCCTGATTGGTCATAGTCATTGTGCTGTTGCTTGACCGTCTTCAGGTCCATGATCACAAAAATGGCCGCGCATGCTTCCAGCAAGGTCAATTATGGCTGTGCCTAGTAGATATAGTGTACTATCATACATATACTAGGACGTTTGGCATTGGCTTCAGACTACGCGCATTTTTGGCGGGCTTAGTTGCTGGATGTTGCTGGCTTGCCAAATTGGTCACCCCTGCTGCCACTCACCGAGCCTCACCCAGCGGGAATACATTGCCAGCAGAATAAGATCCATACAAATGCAGATGTTGAAACGCTGGAAGCAAAGCAGGCGTCGGTGAATTGTTAATATGTTTTCGACTCGAGCCCGTTTAAGCTTACGCTATAGGGCCTGAGCACCCTGCCCAATTAGCAACCTCTCCTCCATGATTCTGGACACCCTGAAAACAAGGAGTTGGCCGCAGGATCCCCAGAAGGATGGCATGCGAGAGAGAACGTTCACTTCCGACGCCATTTGCCTAAAGCACAGCTTTGATCAATCATGTCTTGTTCTGCGTATTCTGCAAGGTGCAGCGGCGCGCAGTCATAAGCAAGTAACAACAGCGACGCCATGAATAGATGCTTGTCCTCTAGAGTTACTGTAGCCTTGTACGCTGTCCAAGTGCGCGCTGCACAAGAATTAATCAGACGGCGGCATGCAACTTTGCAAAAGCAGGGGAAAGACATGCGAGCTTGCAGCACGTGCCTAGCTGGAGTTAGAAAGTCTGTGATCTCAAAATCATGTTCTGGAGGGTGTTGAACTGGTTAAAGTGGCAGTGGCGCGTCCGTGTCAATCTTCGTTGGTTTCATTCAATGTGTTTTTTTTTTGCAAGTTCGCAAGAACTAGATCAACATGCTTGGCTAGTTTGTTCAACCGTTTTTCTTGACCATGGCAAGGCCGTTCCATCTGATATTCAGCTTCTGCAAATTGCGACTGGAGACGACCGGATCTTAGAGGAATTCTAGGCCTGGCAATCCCAACAAATATTCTCAAGTGAGCTGGGAGACATTCTGAGATCCCTATGCAAATCCAGAGCTGTCCTTCAATACTGCATGCTTTGCGTAAGTGGATCCATTCCAGATAGCAAGTCCAAACTCTTTGGGCAGTATGACCACCGGTCTATTTCCATACCCTGCGTTGAGAGGTGTTGCAACTTCAAGTCCGAACACCACAAGTACAATCGCCAGGGCAAGCAAGCAAAACATTACGCTGACACTCTGCCTGGCTTGAGGCAAATAGACTTCATGTCCGCAGCCCACCTGCACCTTCACCAGACCCGAAACCCTCAACACCGAACCACGTCACCGAGTAATGTTTGATTTGCGGACCAGGTTTGGCAGCATCGCTGATTGACTGTGTTGCTGCTTTCACATTTGCAGCCTCTTCCCTGGGAGAAGCTGCCAATCCACATCTGCAACGTATGTTCTGATGCAGCCTTCTCTATCTCTTACTTTGTCGTTTTCTGGCCATCCTCAAAGGGCGGACAGAAGCGAGCGCAAAGCTCCCTGGCCGATCCTCATCCCCAGTGCAATGTAGAAAACTCATCTTCGGGTTAGCTTTCGCAACTGCAGGCATCCACTAGTTGCAAGCCTGCTGCAGAAATCAAACGCGCCCTAGCTCAAGCAAAGAAGGCCTCCGGGGGGGAATCGTTTCACGATCAGGTGATTCCAATCTGCAGAGACATACTCCTGGCACTTCAATGCTGAAAAGACCATCCTGCATTTCGAGGTGTCTCGCATAAGCTTGTGGTGGCATGAGTTTCGGAACGTTGGCTCCAACGCTGGCAACTTGCTTTAGGCGACCCGCCCCGTCCTGATTTCCACGTCCATCAATGCCGTGTTCCTTACGGATAGCATTCCTCGGGCTAAGCTCATGAAGATACTGCCGCGTGTTGAATGCGAAGCAGCTATCATCACACCCTGGGACCTCCGTAGCAGCTGGCAGATACCTGTTGAAAATGACCTTGCTGCATAATGCGACTTCTTGTAGCTTGGAGGTCAAGCCATGGGCACGCAAGCTAGCAAGTGTATAAGATGTCGCTAATTGTTGCTGCGTCATGGCTTTCAACCCCTGGAATGATAGATGATGGCCCAGACCATTTGACACGAAGGACTGACGACAAAGAATCGGGGTGACGAAGGGGGCAGAAGGGCAAACAGCATGCCTGGACGTGGAAGACAGGAGCAGAAGGAGCAGGACGAGAAGGCAGCAAGGTGCAGACGGGAAAAACATGCCGACTCACGCACATGAGGCCACAATGTGCACGTACATGATAATCGGTGATAGACAAGTTTGTGCCATGATGTCAGAGGACATGGTGATAATGCGGGTCGTTCTGAGGATATGTAAAGATGGTGAGGAAGATGAAGATGCTCCTCTGACTATGAAGTTGGCGATGAGCGGTGATGGCTATTGCAATGGCAATGAAATGATGACCGTGATGATGGTCATGATGATGATGATGGTGATGATGATGGTGACTATGGTGTTGGCAATCACAATGGTAATGGTGATGATGGTAGTGCTGATAGGTATGATGAGGGCACCAGAAACCATCGCCATATCGCGGCCATGATGATTACCGCGCTGACGATGACAATTGTGACCCTGAGGACAGGGATACAATGAACATTTTCATCTATATACACACACGAGATGAACAAACAATCCATGTAAGTTTCCAATGAGCTAATTCTAGGGTATGATGATGGCGAAGACAGCGAAGCGCCAAGGATATGCACAAGGGCGACGGCTGCAATGGCAGATGATACGTACAAAAAGAGACTGGCCATGCTGCTGATCATGCTGATGGATGTTACTACCATGCTTGCAGGATTTACTCTGTCAGATGGGGCATATCAACCAGGATATACTCTGATAGCAAGAATTCTTGAATTACCGTAAATACCTTATTGCTTCAGAACCGCGTGATATTAAAGCTACTAAGGTCATGCAGGATTTTGGCAAAAGTGCATTCCCCAATCGCCCGTTCCCCTCCCCTTCGCAGAGGCTTTTCTGCGCAACGAGTTTACACTCGCCGTATGGGAAGACTTCGTGGACATCTGACCAGTTAAACAACAAAAACACAACAGCTAACTTTTGCCCTTGCCGCTCAGCCATGTCGCAACTGCTTGATGTACTGATACTGCCAAGTTGACGTGTTGAACCTGTCGAGCAGCCAGTGCAATGCTTTGTGCTGCAGCGCCACGGATTATCCCTATGAGTCCCCAGTTTCCATTTCCAAGTCGATTCGATTTTCCATGATTTCCACCAAGCAGCCGGGTTTGCCACATGGATTCTCTGACAAAAGCCTGGCCCTTGTCCTGGAGGCCTTGCTTCTTTAGTGCAGCTTTCCTTGGATGAAAAGAAGCCATGGCCTTGCTGGCTCAGATCTACTGAAACCCAAAACATCATGGTAGTTAATATGGTTATGATTGTGGTCGTCAAATCACTTGGCCCTGGCAGCGTTCTCACAAATAGTTGAGGTCTAAGCATCTCCAGCACATTTGCTTGGTGACCGCTGAGGCCCTGCTCGGTTCCATAGTAGACAATGGGTGTTCCACGCGCGAAGAAGAGAAGCGCCAATGCATTCCGGATTCGATAGGAGTCATGATCACCTCAGTGGCGCGAGTGCGAGTGGAGCAACCATCTCCACTTGCGCAGAAAGCTTTTTTCTCAATGAGGGCCAAGTAAGCATCGTGCAGTAAAAGGCTATGCGCGCGAACTCATCATGATTGTCAGCAAAATTCCCGAGCATATCCGGGTTTTTGTAGAGGCCCGGAGTTGACTGGTAGCGCAAAATGGCTGCCAGTTTCCTGCAGACTCTTAGCTGGCAAAGAATGTCTCACGAGCGCTGCAAACATGTGAATGTGCAAGCCTGCAGCTGATAATTTCACTCAGCATGTCCTCAGGTCAGGAAGCTCAGGCGTAAAGGCGCCTTGCAGGTGATAGCTTCCCAAATCTCCGCCCAAGTGGTACTGGCAAAAGCTTGCATGCACCTCACGGTGACAGGTGCATCAAAACGCGCAAGAGTCAAGTGCCTGGACAATGTACTACATGGGGAAATGTCATGTAATGTTGGTTCATGGACCATGCAAAGCTGCCAACCTGGTAAAAGGCGGGGAAGTTCAGCAGGCCTGTCAAGACTTCCTGAAACTCGGCATGATAACCTCAGTGACAGTGAACATCTCTCTGGTCCTGCCCTAAGCTCTCTGCATGCCTTCCAGGACCCTTTGAGATGGGACGGAGTTTCTCTGCTATCAAGGGCCAATTTATGGTCATAATGTCACCCAGGCTTTGTGCCAAGAATGCTCCTGGAAGAAGCCAAGAGAGATTGGAGTAGCCTTCACGAAAGGCTGTTACACAACATGCCCGGAAACAGCTTCCCAAGTATGTAGTTAAAGATAAGCGTGATGAAGCCAAGTTCTTTCTACTGCTGGCCACTGTAACTGACGCAGCGGAAGTTAGCGAAGGGATCGGAGCTCACCGCATGGTGTGAGTCACCCTGGTGCACACGTGTGCCGCTGTTGCTGAAAGTGCTCAGGTGCCGCCTGCCCCAGTGCAAACAGGCAGCTTATGTTATTCACGGTGGTCTCAGCCAGGATGTCAACACCTGCTGCTTCTTGCAGGTCCTTCCTCGAGAGGTCTTTGACCCCGTGCAAAAGAAACTTTCACGCAAAAGTGGTTCGTCGAAGCTCCTAGAATTATAAGCTTTAGAATCAAACCTGGCATTGCCTCTGCTGTGCTCCAAGCAGCAAGAAATGTTTGGGCATATAGATGGCAGTGTCGAGACGGAATGCGTCCACATCATACTCTTTTACCAGGTACTTGACGTACTTCAGCAGCATTTGACGGACGAACTCGTTGTCCTTTGCCACACCATAGGAGTTCAGGTTCACTTCAAAGTACATGTTATGTGAGCCGCTGTCCTGGTTGAGATCAGCCAGCTGTCCGAACCAGCCTTCAAGTTGCAATTGTTCATTGTCACCTGGGCAATCAGGACCTCCGTTGCCCGGAAAACAGTTGCACTCCGTGAGGTTCATGTTCTTGTAGCCACCTTTGCTGTTTTGAAGATCATGACGGCCAACCGCAAGCTACTGAGCCAACGTCTTTCTACATGGCCAACATAAAGAAAGGAGCATGTAGTCAGTCCCTGCTTCACCTCAGATGGGGCAGGAGCGGCTTTGCCCCTCCTAACGAAAGGATCACGTGTGAGTCTCTTCTAAGCAACCAGAAGCTGTTTGCTGTACCAGGCGCCCTGGAAGCAAGCACCTTGTCACTTCCTTGACTCTGAGAAGCCTGCACCGAGGGCGTAGCAGGCGCCAGATACACTGAAGCTTTCTCGAGGGAAGGTCATGAGAAGCAGACTGTTTGAGAATGCATTGGCAGTTGTGCTTTCATTCTGCAAAATCCGAAGGAGTAGTCATCAAGAGACGTTTGAAGAGAGTGCTCTTGCTCTTTGGCTGGGAAGTCTGCCGTTTGCTAGCAGCTGGCCTGGGCGACCCCGCCAAGCACGTAGTCTCTGAAGAGAGTTGCCGGTGATTTGCCATATGTGTGAAAATATTCCTGCTCTTGTGCAAGTTGCAACTCGTGGGCGCTGCTCTGCTCATTGCTTACCTTCTACTAAAAGCAAGTCCTCTTTGTCAAAGGGGACAATGCCTGCAGGACCCAAGTAGGTCTTCAAGGCTTGTGGACTCCAGTCAGACTGCACCACCAACGGCCGAACATGGTTGGCAACGATATCCACTATGAGGCACATGCCACGTTTGTGCAGCTCTCTGGAAAGCTCACGAAGCGTTTCCTTCGTTCCGATGTGCGGGTCAACGTCGAAGAAATTTTCAGCGTAATAGCCGGTGTAATCCAAGGACTTGACAACGGGAGTAATCCAGATGCATTCGAAGCCCATGCCATCAATATAATCCAATTGATCGATTATACCTGTCCAGTTCATCTCATCACAGGCTGTTTCTTACAAGCCAACCATGTTCAAGTATTATATCCTACCGTTCCTGATGCCCACAAAAAAAAAACTTGCATCTTCAAGCGCCTTGCAGTGTACCATTGCACCAGGCGCCCCCATTTGGAAGGAGGGGATTTGGCATGGTCGCAAGGTCACAAAACTCATAGTTGTCCTAGCTGAGAATCAACACTTCCATGCCCTTGTCACGCGGAGCTTGCATGTTGTAATTACAGCATGGCCTAGCTGGTCCTTGTTGGCACCACTCCTGGCAAACCGATCTGTGACAACAAAGTAGACGCTCTTTCCCGCTATGCTGGGCTTCTGCAGCACAGCGCTGGCCGCCAGCACCAGCAACGGCAAGAATACGCAGGTTTTGGGAAATCCATGGCGCAAAGCGTTCATTTTCGGCCAGCAGCCAAAAATACAACCTAAAAGCGAATTGAACATGACAGTGTCACTGGCAGCAGGACACTTACACCATGCATATCTAAGGATGGGAAACCGATAGCACGGGTCATGTCTCTAAAACCCTCATGGCCAGCAGCAAGGAAGGCATCAACACACCAAGTTTCAAGAAGCAGCTGGCTACCATATTGTTCGGGCAGACACTTGCCCCATGTTGCCCCCTTTCCGCATCGTTTGTCATGGAGCTGCTAGCTCTTAGCGCGGCAGCTGAACAACGAACCAGCACAAATGTGCGCAACAGTCGCGAAAAAAGGTGCTCTTGGAAAGGAAGCTGGCTTGCCAATGAAAGAACCTCATTCCTGGGAGCAAGTTCCTTGGCCGCCAACTTACATAAACAATATGAGGACCCTGCATTTCGTCCACCTCCAGGTTGTGCCATGGCTGCCAAGTACCTCATGGAAATATCAGCGGACCGCGAACTATGATGGACCCCTTGGTTCCGGATGCACAGCACTGTATCTGCTAGCAGGTAGGAGCTGACATCACTGCCACATCTGAGCTTGATCAGCCCATACTAAGAGTCGTTCAAAACAGAGATCATGGCAGAATCTACGAGAAAATTCACAGCAGCTTCAGCATACTTCATCGTAGCCTGAAAGTCAGGTGGCCATTGCAATGTGTTGCAATTCACGGTACCATGCAGCAGACGTTAAGAACCCCCCAACCTACAGGGGGACATGCCAGCCCCGGCGTGCCCACTGCCCCGTTGCAACTGCCATAGCCGCATTATGCCATCGGGTCAATTTTTGGCAGCATCGCGTTGTGTGTGCCTTGCGACGAGATGGCATATGCGTGGTCCCTCTGCCAAGGAAGCCACACGAGCGGCAGGGCGAGAGATTCCATGAGAACGCGTCAAATCCTTGAGCTGGCTCGTTTGCAGAAACTTCCTCTGGCAGCTCTCGGAGGCACTTGAGCTGTTCGATCTTCTTGAACTCGCCCCGCTTGTCTCGATCAAGAAAGTAGAAGCCACTGAACCTGACCAGCTCATGCTGTTCACTCCCCTTTTCCGGTGCAAAACAAATATGACCAGAAAGGCATTCTGAGGCCAGATCTCAATGAGCTGCCGGGTCAGCTCATTAGTCACCTGACATCTCCAGAAGGCGAGAGTCTTGCCCGGCACCTTGCCTCAATAAGCTTCCAGCCTGGTCCCCCCACTTGTTGACCAGCGGCATTGATGCCTAACATGGCCATTTCATGCAGCTGCTTTTTCCTTCCCCAGTGCCAGGCCCCCCTACAAATCCCCAACAACTACAACATGTATTCACCACAAAATTAGCACTCGCTAACTGGTTAGAAGGTCGCGGCACTGCAGGGGCCCTGAGAAAAAGAGCGCCCGTCCGCTCTCGGGGTAGGTATAAGCGTCCCTAAGTCCTCTTACAAGACACATTGACCGCCATAGCTCAGCATGACGTGAAGAGGCAGCCAATGCATATTCATGATCGCTCACCACAAGATTTAAGCATGTCCCTCCCTAAGGATGATAATAAATCACCTAGAAAAAGTGTCTGTGACTAGGGGGCATCATTTGGAAGACTTAGCCTGTGAGAGACCACACGAATAATACCCAGCTGCAGGAAGTCAAAGTATATAATTCCAACTAATCAACTGTGCTTCTTTTGGACTCTTGGTATGCTTAAACTCCATTATAAAGCCTTAGGAAAACAACGGACTCTGAGAACATCCAGGAGATGCCAAATTGTAATGGAATGTACTGGAATGTTTCTCAGACGTCGACATCGTCCAGGAAGACCGTCAGCTGTTTGCCTCCGGGCCTTGGCTGCAAAAAGCGAAAAAGCGAAGCAGAAGGACCTAGATTTTTACATCAATCAGACACAGCAAAGCAATCAGGCTGTCTCGGGCAAAAAGTCTTCCCGGTCTTGCGCTCAACTTCTCCTTCGATTGCCCTGCGCTGAAGCCCAAATTCAATTGCAACGCAGCACCCGCGGAGAACTTCAACGCGGCAGGTTCACCGCTGAAGGCCAAGCGGCGTCGTGGCCTGGCAAGTGTCTTGAAACTGCCAGGGAACTCGGACAGAAGAGGCAGCCCGGATGATGGGAAAGCTGAAAACAGGTTGGCGCCCGATATCAAACAGAAGAGGCAGCAGCATGCAACAGCACCGCAGCTTGTTAACAGGATCATCCCACGCTGCTGAAATTGATGCGCTTGGAAAGCATGACATCCAAAGGATACCTCCGCGAGCATTCGGCGACAGCGGGAGTAAGAACATCAGGTGCGCATGATCGACATGAGAGACTAAGCGATAGGCTTGTTGAGAAACATCTTGGCTGTTGACGTCTTTGCAGTTCCTGCACGAGCCCAGCATAATCATAGGCACAAACTGCTCCATCTGCAAAAGACCTGCAGAGCCCACCAGGAGTGATGACCTCTCTGCACACAACTTGCAATGGATTTGCCAAGGCATGGCTTCTGCGATCTCACTACGCCTGTAGTTTGGAGGTATTTTCGTCATCTCCTGCTTCGCAATGACATCAATCATGTACTCAGCGCCTAAGCCATCGCACCGAGCAACCACATCATGCCATGATGATGACAATCCGCAGACATTACGCAAAATGAGTCTTAGTTCAGCACGGCATGAATCCATGGTGGGAATCAATAATGCCTGACGATTTGTCTGAGCGTAACGGTTAATTCAAACGCCGATTCAGTGTTTTCCAAGTTGCGCGCGGAGAAACGCAGTAGCTTTGGAACCTGTCGACAGAATTTGACAGCAATGCTACTTGTATCATGGGATCTTATGCTTGCTGTAGGTTCGGAGAACAGGAGTGCTCGGTTTTCGCAGCGAGCCAGCATGTCGTGCTAAGTTTTTGCGAAATCCCGGATAGTACTCTGCTGTAAAGTCAGACAAATTCTTGAAGCCTTCCACTCCGCAGGCGCCCAAAGCTTCCACGGCCGAGACTTGTCCGTAGGATCTGGGACGTACTCAAAAATCCTGAAGCATCTGATGCCATACTGGCTTGCATACTTGCTTGGCCAACACTTGCACCTTGGAAAGTCCAAATTTCTGAGGCCGGTTCGTCTCGCCATCCTGGCATGGCGGAACGTACTGGCCATATCCGGCCTGAGCCCAACTCGAAGCGTAGTAAAGTGTGAAATTCATGCAGCGCTAGACAAATTCACAATGCATGCCTCAGTGCGAGCTGGCTAAGACTTGCACGACACCCATCACATCACCTGACTTGTGATACTTGGTGATTTGTATTGCGCTGCTGGCTTTGGCTCCTGCTACATATCATATATATCATGGCTCATTGAGAAGTTTGCAAAGCTTGGCGTGGAAGGTCTTGCGCGCTTCTTGCTCAAGCAGGCCACCCATTCCCCACCTGATAGGCAGAGGTGACTGAGCTACACGGAACTGCAAAATTGATCTGCGGACTAGTGCTGAGGTGTGTGCGCGATGGAGTATGCCTGTCTCTATACATCTCGAATACAGACTATACATGCTGGCTTCAGCGGCCCGGGCAAAAACTCGAAGACAAGCAGCTTCCTGCACAGCCTGTGAGCTTTCGCCTTGCTTTTGCAAGGCCAGAAAGAGCATGCCAGCAATGCCTCGTTGACAATCACGTGCATGCGCAGCGAAGCGGATAGCAGGTTTAGGACATTGGTGATGATAATTGACTCCTTGGTTTCCGCGAGAAGATGTGAAAAGATATGCCTTCCTCCTCTGACAAGGTCGGATTTTGTAATTGTTCCCATAATCATGGCCGCGTTCCTAGATCAGGCGATGATTGATGGGCGAGGGCAGATGTAGCTTTTTACTCTGCGGAAGGAGGGAAGATTCACGTGCACTAGACTATCCGGGGAATGATGCATCCTCCATAAAGATGGCTGCTCTCGGCACCGATCAGCGCCAAATTGAACGGAGGCTTCGCGCACACAAAGGACGACTCACGACTTCTGCTGGTGAGGGGGCAGTGAGGATGGCTGCTTCGAGCGACTTCTGGACGGTCCGCATTTCTGAGGCGCAGGAGTCCAGACAAGCAGACTGGGATGCCCTTTGGTGCTTGAAGGGTAGCAGTAGCAGATCTCTAGAGGGTCTCGTCAAGGGAGTCCATCATGGTGACGGGCACTTCGACCCAGTTCCAGGAAGTGCAGTTGCACAAAGGCTGCCAGAGACGGTGTTCCGGAATCTGGTTGTGGGGAGAAGGCAGCTCTCTCCGTAGCTCGGTTTGGTGGACACACCTCACGGTATCACGTCGGATGCTTACGAGACTGAGGGTCAGACCCTTTCAGCCCGCCACGCTTTCGACGTTAGCTGCTGACTTGCAACTCTAAAGCCTCAAGCCCTTCACGAATGTGCAGCTGGAACTCTGGACCTTTACTGATGGTGCTACCTGCCGCAGCGCGTGCTGAACCATACAGCCATCCAGTGCCGGTCTTTGATGCCTGTTTAGTCCGTCTCCTCCTACAATCCTATTCAGCGGCTTCAGGCTCCAAATAAAATCACCTCTTCAACTATTTTGGCATGAATTCCATGGGAAATCTAATTTTTGGTAGGATGCTCAGAAACATTCTCAATTGAATTAATTATGAATCTGACTTTAAGCACCAGAAAATGACAGAAAGCGTTCCTACACCTGAAATCGGCTGGATTTGTTCATTCCTGCACTTCACCTCATCCAAAGCGGTTTACACCTAGGTTAAGGTGATTCCTAGCAAATTATATATAACTGACGTTGAATACTACCTTTTAGTCAGTTTGGGCTGGACAACAACTTGCATTAAAAACCTCGGGGGCGCGCGTGCACTTTCTACGTGAGGTTGATTCCGCTCGAAGTACAGTCAATCAATTGGCGAATACACTTGACTTGACTTTTTATTCCCGAGCAGTGTGCAAACTCTGTGGGATATGTTCTGCGGAGAGAGACCTCATCTCTTGGGGTCACACTCCACGGTTTTTACGCTTTTCAGGAAATGCAGATCAAATTCCAAAATCATCGGGGATAGTATTCTACAGGAGTTGCCTTCATCATTTTTGCGCTGACTTCCGCCACTGGTTTCCGCAGATCAAACCCACAGTGGTGAGTTGGCTGTGAAGCTTCAGAATTTGCCCCGTTTGTTGCATAAGCCCAGCTGCAGCTCGGCAGCGCAGCGTGCCATAGTGTCAATGTGTGTGAAAACAGGGCCGGGACAAACCGCGTTTTGGAGAAACCCCAAGTTCCGTGGTGTTTACCAGCAAATCCAGCGGTTCCTGGCCCCTAACAGACAAGCAACACCCCCGGTCTAGAACCAAAAAAGGGTCACGAAGAGGCGACAACATTGGGCATGTAAAAACGGACCTTGGTCCTCATCGTTTGGCAGAAGCTGCTTGCAAGCGGAAGCAGTGTCAACTCAAGCATAATCATATTCGCAAAGCTGGATGGAAATGCTCCTGCGTGCGATGCAAAATTATAGTTGCATGTTTTCGCCAACTTTGTGTCCGTTTGGGTCGTCTTATGTATTTGACACAGACGAACCCTATGCAATGGGGAACCTATTGGGGTTAGGCTTCCGCGGCTTGAGTGTGAACATGCGTAGCATTGCCTGACCAATCCATCAGAATGGACTCGATACCCCAAAGCACAATACCTTCTGTGCACGCACTCTCGCAAGGATCCAACTTCGAATCACCTACGTACCGTAACAGCTCCATAGTTACTTTTCTTTGGGAATGGCAGCCCTGTGCCTGGCAAAATATTTTTTTTGGACGTCAGCTCCTGATTCGCGTAAACAAGTGCGTGAAAGCAGGCATCTCGCAGAATAGGAAATCCCACAACATCCTGGCCCAAACCATGACTATGAGAGCATGTCAGCGCTTGCGCTTGGGCAGATGACTCCACGTCGGCTTGCAGACTTGAGCTGCTGTGCAGAGGATTGGCCATCCGGGGGCAAGCGGTGTGCATGAGTCATGGGTGTGAGTAGATGACCGAAAGGACGCGGCCCAGCACAACGTCACATACTGCTTCACCGAACGCTGAGAGTAAGATCCAGTGGAAATTCCTTGCTGAGCTCTAGACATTTGTTGACATGAAGGACTTGAGATTGCGGGAAAGCCAGTCCTCGGACGGAAATGCAGAGTTCAGAACACGCGTGCATCTGGTTGCATTTTCTCAGGCTTCCGCGAAGAAATCCACAGCTGATCCGCCATCAGGAGGAGGAACCTTAAGCCAGCTGTCCACTGCAACTCGGATCACCTCAACCTGGCCAGACTCTCTTTTTTGGTTGGACTTCTATGCAGGTGGTACGCTGCGCCTCCTGGTGCCTGCTGATACCTTAGAGGAATGAAGCAAACAAATGTGCAAAACACCTGTGATCAGCGAATGGATCTGGCAAAGACTCAGCTGCTCCACAACACGTATCCCCATGCGTTGGGTGCTAGCCCACACGAAGTCATACGACGTTCTTGGTGGCGCAGGGTGTGATTCGAGGATCTGCCTTTTGTTGACTGCTGGGCACAAGTTGGAGGCGCTCGCAGGTGTCTTGCGGCTGCAGATCCAATTCTGGTAAGTTGCTTCCAAACAGTGTTCAAATGCCAATCGCGCCACTCGCGATGCACTGACCATACTGACCGTTCTGACACAAATGACTCCCTGAGCAAACCCCATCTCACAAGCGACAGTATGCATGACGTGTCACTGTGTGACTGTGGGTGCAGGTCTTCCAGCTAGCAACATTCCCCTGTGTTGATCCATGCCATTTTGAAGGCGGGCTGCCCATGTCCAGGCGCTGCATGTACCATGACTCCATAATTGGCTCCCATCCTGAGTGGCGATTTGCTTCTCGAGGACTACAGACATAATACCATCTGCTGGGGTCTGTGCCCAGGTCTGTTGTGGAGACAAAAATGATGCCGGCACGGGAAACCTTCCAGAATCTTCCGGGCTTGGATGCTTGCGGCAAGGGAACTGATTCAGAGGCCGGGACTGTTGCGGGAGATGCATTCCTCAGGCTTTCCACCTCAAACCTCAGACAATGCCGTAATAAACCTGCCACTGTCCATGATGTCATGAGAACGGTGGAAAGGCTGCCAAAACTCAGAACAGGGGGCGTATCTGCAGCCGAACATGACTTGTGCGTACACGCTTGCAATGACCAAGCTGCCCACAGGGAACAAAGCTTCGGAAGGGTCCGAAAATAATTCGCAGGTTGTCAGTGTGGAATTGCTTCTGTCAATTATGTCTCCTTCCTGCTTGTGCTCTGCTGTGGAGGAATTCTCCACGATCTGCTCATGTTGCTTGGGCTTGCTCAGCTTCTGAGCTTTGATAAACCGGAAGGTTCACAGTGAAAAAAATCGGAAAACGCCAGCAAAATCGCGGACCTCCCTGTCCGATCAACAACCACGTTCTGACTCTAAGCCATGGCAGTGGGACGAAAATATCAGCAGTCTGAACGGCACCGATATGTTCTGGGCGCTACCGTAAGATGCTCCAAGAGCAAAGTAAGAGCGGCGCACAATGCGGCAGTTGTCAGTCATTGGAATGCGATCCTCGGCCAGCTCATCAGGCGTGCAAACATGCACAGGATGAAGCACATTGAAGCACATGAACATTGAGGCCAAGGTCGTTGTTCGCCAGAGTCAAGATCCTCGGCTTGGCGCGATGCGCTGTCTAAGATCCAGCCTCTGACGGCCTGTGGGGTTCTTAGTTAGCAGAAAGCTTTAAGATCATTACCCCAGTTTTTGGCATGCTGCTTTGTCAAGGGATGTCAAGATGAGCCTGTTTCAGCAAAGAGCTGGCGAACAAGTAAGCTGTACATACTCCCTGTACTGGCTGATAACCTTCCATGGCCGTGGATTCCAAGGCCACGCTTAAGTACACCAGCTATCTACTTTGAACATCCCCACCCTTACTTTGGCGGCCACAGGGCATCGTCAAATGCATCCAGCAACAATATAGAGCATGTATCAGCAAACGAATTCTATAAAGTTGCCCCACCCTGCAGACATGACAACTGTACACTCGTTCACTATTATCACAACCACTACTGTTAGAGTGGTGGGATGGGGTGGCATTTTTCATAGTTCTGCTTTGGGGTTGGGCACTCCAGGGATAAGGAGAGATTGGGGCACCGGGCAGCGCAGGGAACCTGTGAAGTACTTTGGGGTGGACAGGATACTTTCTGCGGGCTCTATTCCGTGGTTTGGCCCGGCGTGCGGCTGGGCAATGTGGCACTGCTGGCAAATTCTGCCCGCACTTTGAGGGCGGGCAACAAAGGTCGAGTGCGACGCTGCGGGATAAGTGCTACATTGAAGCGGGCCTGGCTCACCTCTGAAAAGTTTAGCTGCGTGACTTGGAACAACTCAAGCCTACAGAGGGGCCATAACTGTGTAGGTAACATACAAAGGGCCCCCACAGCAGCCGCTTTTTTTCGAGCCTCTGGCAAATGACATGTCAAGCAAGGCTCTTGTTGTCGTCCAGGACGGTGTTCAGGTTCTCTATCCAGATAGCATCAATGGGCCCGTCACCTGACTTCACGGGACGGTCTTCAGATCCTGAAGACCCTGCATATTATGGAGGACTGAGGACTAGACAAACAATCCAAGTGTGGTACTTCAGGGCGCGGTTGTTGCGTTGTTGCCAAATTGATGCAAACCTTGGACTTGCTGCCATCTGCTTGCTGAAGCGCATTGAAAAGCCTGCGCAATCCTGCTCGTTCGACAACTTAGTGGCTGGCACACCTGGCGTCCACTCATCACCTGCTGTGGGCATTCTTTGAACGCCCGCTCCGAAAGTTCGAAATGCACGGTGGGACGGTGGGGTGCAAGATTCTTGTTGGAGTCGAGTGTGCTGAGGCGTCCACTGGATGGATCCTTCACACCATACATTTGGGCATCTGTGATCGCCTGCCATGTGCATGCGCCAAGTTCCAGCCGACCTGGCTACAAGTTCCAACTGCCGATGCCTTAGGGTTCATCACCTGGAGCTTGTGAGGGAGAGGCTTCTCGGAATCCTCGAGAAAACATTGCAGGTCCGGCCAGCAAGACCATGAAGGACAGGGCTGCTGCAAAATTTTGACCCGCATTCAAGCTCATTGTCTTACCCTCCAACCTCTGTCATCGCCGTTGTGAGCGTTTGCATGATGCGCGACTTCCCGCACAACGTTGGACCTGAAAGCTTAGACTACGCCGTATTGAAGAGCTTACCTGATGTGCAGCAGCTTTGCAGCGGCAAAGCATGGCGCCGCAGGCTCAATTTGATGACCAGCCCCGCACCCACCAGCATGAAGCCATGTCGCACCAAGGAAATCCTGAGTGGAGCTGGGCTGTTATCATGTGCTGCCTTTACCAAGTCTTGAAATCTCTGAAGGCAACGCTCATAAAGCTGCACGATTTTTAGCAACCAGGTGTCCTCGAGCAATTGAAATTACAGGGCACTCTCAGTATGCACGAGGCCGCAAAGCAATTTCCAAGGTGTAGTCAGCGCCAGCAGTAGATGACCAATAGATACAAAATACTAATAGCAATAACAATAAGAATAATGATGTAGTATCACATACCAGTAGCATCCAACAGCAGCGGCAGCGGTTGCAGCCATCCTTTCCGAAGAGCCGTTCCTTCTCAGCCAGCAAAGCGACCTTTATGAGAGCATGCGCGCGTCTTTCGCCCCCATGTACACACCCTCGTGAAGATGTTCTGAGTTGTGTGCTGCGGCTTCGAGGCTGTCATAAGTCTTCTTGGGGGGATTGTTTACCTGGCGCTGTGTTAGCAAATGGATCCGAGATGTTCCGAGCATCCTGAGTGCTAGCTAGGCATGACTCGGCCTTCGGAAACAAGTCCTTGAGCAACGCCATGAACAGCGGCACCTTGAAGGCGTCTTTGGTACACAAAATGGGATCTGCCGTCTCAGCCAGGTTGCTTGACACGTGGTGAACCCATTTCTGAGAGCATGACATCATCCGCGATAAGCTTTGACAAGTTCATGTCTCTGACCTTAGGTTGGCAAAGAGACCTTGCCCAGCTCCATGTAGAAAGGCAGCTTTTGAGTGGCAGCAGTGCGCATAAAGAGCATCTCCTCCTCTGCGTCTGATGGCTCTCCTCTCTTCACCGCCCCTGACCTGGGTCGTGCTACTCAAACCAATCCACGCTTTGTACATCATACTGAGGACCCATCTGGCGCAGGACGCTCAGAATGTTCCTCAGCCCGAAGTCGTAATGTCGCTGTTTGCCTTCGTACGGTTGACATATTCAACAACTCCACTGTGCAGCTCAATCTGCAACAAACTCAGCCAGCATGACTCAGCTGCTGCTCACACAGTGCGTACAGGATGTTGAACCTCAGCAAGATGATTTCTGTGGCTCAAGGTCAAGCAAAAGAGACGCAATGAGATGCAGTTGGGTTGTCCACTTCTTGCCAAGGATATCCATGTAGGAATATCCAACCTGCATTTCAACATGGCTAGCATTGCCTGAGAAGGTAGGCGCATCTTTGCTGCAAGGGTGCTGAGGCCAACTTCACCCGCATGATTGTCTCACGGTTCCTCGGTCAAACAAGTTGCGGCTGCAGAATGATCTTGCTACTTGATAAACAGTCGGATGATATCTGCAAGTGTCTGCAAAGCTGTCAAGATCTGCAAGCCCCACACGACCTCCTTCGCTCCTGCTACAGTCCAATGCAGCACTTCTTGATAAGATCTTTTTATTCTTTAGAATGGCAAGCTGCAGCGCTTGTAGCCCGGCCATGCTCCACCCTCCATCTGAGCCGTGACTAGATCACGAACGTGATAGACATCAGATTTCGGATTCATAATGCCCGCAGCAATGCTGACGTTCGAGTCAGCGTGAATGACTGCGTCACACGAGGCAAGCACGAGCGCATCAACTAAGCAGTCCCTGGCATCAGCTATGGTCAGGCGCGTCGGCTGGCCGTGAACTTCTCTGGGTAAGCGCGAGTCGTTGATGCCACCCTCAGTTCGCTTCGCTGACTCATTTAAAATCAGATGTTGTCCGAATGCTGCCCGGAAAGCAGACACTGCAGGCTCATCGTCAGTCGCCAGAAAAACTGTGGGTGTTCCATGCTGGCTGTATCTGTGCACCAACTTGAGCGCTGCGTCGATGTAGCACTCTGTTCGCAGCATGCGTTGCTCAAGCTGCATGCGTGCCGTTCCTGGGTTATCGACGCGCTTATGCACGCCAATCAGAACACCAGGGCCACGCTGTTCAAGGATCCGATCGCGCAGCTTTAGCACCTCTGGGCACGGCTGCAGGCACTGGCTCGCCACCTCAGCGTACTCTTCTCGGCGTTTCGCCGCTGAGGGTCCGCGCAGGAACTGTCCACGGAACACGTTTACTAACAAAAAGTTGAATCTGTGTGTGACGTCAAATCGCGGCTCACGCGGCTCGCATGCCCCAACCCGGTCCGAGAGTTGCTTGAACAGGCCATGAAACACATCATCCCCCACAGAACCATAGTTGAACTCACGCTCCTGCCCAGTAATTATCCAATCAGGCTCAACCGTGACTGTGGCAAAGTAGCAAGCGTCCAGGACTTGCAGCCAGTTTGCAAACAAGCCGTTGTCCACAGTTGTTACCCGCACATATCGAGCCTCAGCCAGGTCACAGAGTTCTCCCAAGGTTCGTAGAATAGCCACAGGTGCTTTCCGCGCTTCTTCTCTTTCAAAGAGGAAGCCCTTACCACCATCAGGCCGAGCACGTGGGGCTGCCATGGGCTGGCCCCAGTCTGTGAAGTCGCGCAGCGTCACCAAAACTTCCTCACAGCACTCTAGGAAGAAGCGGAGCTTGTGCCGCGAAATGCAGTCGATTGCGCGTCCTAGAACTCGATATGCAAAGGCAGGCATGCGACTGTGAAACACGCCAAGTGCAAGCTCATCCAGGCCGGTCAGCAGTTCTGGAACTTTGTGTTCGTCGCGAAGCCCCTGCGAAGCTTTCAGAGCGTGTGGCTGCGAATCTAGGCGCATCCACCTCTTGGGATCCAAAGCTGCCAAAACAAACTTGGATGAGCAGCGCGGGAGCTTCAACATTTGCCACAGAACATAATTTCGGACCATACGCCAGCGGTCTGCCAGAAGCTTCTGCCCTGGGCCAGACCCTGTACCAAGCCACCAGTTCATGAACGCCCCGACGAGTGAGGGCCCCAATTGCTCAGCAATAAAATATTCAATGTGCCTGGAAAATTCAACCAGGGAAATGTTTGAGAGAGGCCAGCACACTTTGGCAGGATCAAACAAACCCCCAGAATCATAGAACCACCAGTTGAGGGATACGTTTTCCTCACCTATGCTGTGCACATGGTGGAACCAACTCATTGGCAGAAACAGGATGTCACCGGGCAAAAGCAAAGCATCCACTCCACGACCAACCAAAGCCTGGGCATTGGGCCACGTGTTCAAGTCAAGACTCTCCAAGTCTACCCTTGCCTTGCGGTCCAGTGAGTGGTGCACCGGGTATGGGTACATGGCAGGCGCACATGTTACGTCAAACAGCAAAAACCGTTTGCATCCACGCAGTTGCAGGTACAGGTTGTGCTGCTGATCGTAATGCACTGCTGTCAAGAAGTCCGAATAACTGACGAAGAGCTGGTTGCGCGAAAGCTCTCCAAAACCTCCCAACTGCGCGAGCTCGTGCACGAGATGTCTGTTCATAGTGTGCAAATCAGCTTCAAGCTGTTCATCAAACTTGGCTGAGGTAACAATACCACCTTCATATCGCAGCACGGGCGTTTGCAAATAGTAAGATTTACCATCTTCGTTGACCTGCTGCTTCCGCACGAACTCTGCAAATGTCATCTTCTGGGCCTCTGCGATAGTACTTGGCTCGTAGCCTCCTTCATTACGGCTTTCAAAGGAATAAGCGAAGCGCTTCATGGACTGTGATGAGGCAAAGGTATGGTACAGCTGCGAGCCCATGTGCTGACAGAGGTATTCCACGTCCCAGCAGTCGACAGCTCGAGGAAAGATAGGCAGATTGCGAACTATGCAGGGGTAGGGCGAGGTGGGGTTGAAAAAGCTTGCCAGCTGTTTTTTCACTTCCAAGGACAACGTGCCCTGAGCATCTATGACAGGGCACTGTCTTCCGACCAACCGCTGCTCATGCCGTGGCGGGGCGACAAGCCTGGCCGGTGCATGCAATGCACCCGATCCTGGGCCCTCTGGGGCGATTCTGGAAGCTTCTTCCATGGCGCAGCTCTCAGGAAGGGCATGGAGAAGACTGTATTCATGTTTCTCACGCACATGAGGTTGCCACCCGCACTGGTGCCACAGGACGTCAACGACTTGTGACAGTTTGGCTGCATCACCTTGACCAGCTTGTCCGTCCTTCTTGGTAGTACTCAACTGCGCTGACAATCCGGTGCCCAGCGCCTCCAGCAAGTCGTGCGACTCGGCAAGTTTTCCGACGCGGTCTAAAGCTTCGGTCACCTGCAGCCCATGCTGAAGAAAGCTTGGAAGTTCTGCCAGCTCTGAATCAAGCTGCTCGGGAATGCCCTTGGACAAGTCGCCTCTTGCCTGCGCCCTCTGCGGATCTGGCACCTTCTTCGGCGTGCACACCAGCTTGTGCTTCGGCCATGCCTTCCGCTGGCATTCAGGGCCACAATATGCCTCGAAGCAACGACTGCACCGTGCAGGTGCATCTGGACGGGAACAGGCGCCGCAAACCAGCATGCTGTTACCAGGTTTATGCAACTGAAGAAAACCTTTTTCGCCTTGAACGGAATGGACCATCTACAGATCTACGTTCTAAGCAGACCCTTGACGCGCAAGAATGCTCTGGACCAGCAATCTATTTCTGCTCTGCTACATCGCTTGAGCATCTCAGGCTGGACTTTAGATGCGTTCCTCAAGGCTTCCAAGACACACGGAGGGTCATGCTGAGCTTCTTGCGGGACCATCATGGACACCTCGTTGCTGGAAGTCTTTTGAAGTCTCACATGGTTTGTGCCAAGTTTGCAGACGCGACAGGCCGCGGCATTCCGAAATAAGACCTTGAGATTCTCAGGTAGCTCTTGCCGTCCGGCCTGAACTTCGAAAAATGCGCCAACACAGGAAGCCATTCAGCTGACAGTCATGCAAGGGTGCAACTCAGAACCAATAAGTAATGAAAAAGCAGCACCAGGACCGCCAGCATCTGATACCTGTTGACCTGGGGTCCTCACGTAACCAGGGTTCATGGTGATGAAATAGCCGACCGACCTAGACGACAAACCGCCTTCTGTAGTATACAAACTACTTTCGGCCACAACTGCTTTCTGTAAGGCACGAGCGGCACGAGTTTGATTGGGTATGGCTCACCTGGGAAGAGGAAGGTCTTGGCGTTCTGCTTCTTTGCCTGACCAGGTCTGCAGCTCAACATCTTGCCTGAAATCCGGACGGTTTTGCCTGCATGATCGATTCAATTTGAGTGGCGACAACGCTCAAAACCTCCAGCTCAATGCGGTTGAATTCGTCGAAGCATCCCCAAAGGCCGCTCATGCCTCAGCAGGTAACGCAGCATCTTCTGAAACAGCATGGGATAGGGGGAGGCAACTTCATCGGACTTACGCGACGCAGTCACCAAAGGGATGTGAGACATACGCACGCGCACACGTAGCATGCATCCACATCATTCCATGACGTAGGGACGCAAGCCTGGACATGTTTGATAGCAGGTGAGGGGTGAACCTCCTCCAGCGCGTGCAGGACACAAACGAAGCGGTCAAGAGCTCATGGTAAAAGAGGCCGCTAAGGGCAAGTGATCGGAAGGATACCACTCAGACGGTAGCTGATCAGGCCAAGGCGGCCAGCGAAAGGACCAGCAAAGCTTCGCTTCCTCGTCAAGAGACAGTGGCCACTGCAGGGCCGCAACATTTAAGTTTTCGCTTCTGTACATGAAGTCAATACGGTCACTTCGTCCCGCTGCTCGGAAAGTGGCCGGTGGCGTTGGGACACCACCATAGCAATCCACGAATTTCCAGCTCCCATGTCTAGACGGGAAAGAAGAATCGTCAACTGCTTGAAGCTCTTGGTGCAGCGTACTGCCAGCCAGCTCGTTAAAGTCTCCTACTATCACTGCGCAGCTGGATGTTGTGTCAACTCCTATGTCCTTTCTCAGTTTACGGAAGCGACGGCAAACTGACTCCAGCTGAGACCTGCGCGCGTCCTGTGCCGAAGGATCCCCTTGAAGGTGAACGTTTGCCACAAACAAAGTAACAGGCTCTGCCTTCCCTACCGTGTCGACATCTTCATTTTCAAGCTCGCGCAGTGCAAGCAGGCTTGCCCGCGACCTGTGCTCCACTGCCAGGATGCTGAACTTGCTTTTCCTCACGAAAGTTACAGGTTTCTCAATGCCTTTGCGTGGTTCCGAGGGAGCTATAGGTTCATAGCCTGATGACTGCAGCTCCTCCGAAAACGAGATGTCATCCCCTGCAGCTTCTTGGCAACACAGAACATCCACGTCCATCGATCTTAAGCGCTCAAGGATCAAAGGCCTGCGAAAGCTCCACTGTCTGAAAGCATCGGGCACATAGGGATAATAGCTGACATCAGCAAAGCGAGGCGTCAGGATGTTTAAGCTGCCTACGCTAAATTGCCCAAAATTGGATGGGGGCAACCGACCAGGTGGTCTTACAATCCGCGGAAAGCGGCCAGCTGAACCAGCTTGGCTAGCCATCCCTAAGCAGGGGCAGAGGATCACGTCACGATGTGGCATCGTGTCACGGAGGACATGCCATTGCCAGCTAGCAAAGACTGCTTGAACAGAAGTCTTGCGTGGCCCGCGACATTTTGTAGTCAGTGACTGCACGGGCGGCACAATTCTAACTAAGTGACTGAGTGAAATCGAGCACTTCCGCCCATGCTGCAACGTGGCGCTGGGTGCAACACATAATCCTTTGAAGATTTTCGCCATGTCCTTGAATCGATGCTGGTCCTGGCAACAAAACGACCGCAACAGTCCTGGTTGATGCTGATGCAGTGAGGCTAGTCGCATGCAGCGCATAGACACAAATGACAAATGGTAAGAGCAATCTGCCGGATGTGCAGAGCAATTGGTCACCACCACAAAGATGCCCAATGTCCGGCCCATGTCCTGTACAAGTAGGCGTTCAACGGCCGGGTTGGTCAGACTGCATTTGGAAATGGGTCCGCCATCCCATCAATAATCGTTTATGCTTGTCCTTAGTTGTCTCGGTCTTTCCAGTCCCGGCAGGGCCAGCAGGCCTCACGAACGGCCGGTTCAATTGACGGAAGCACCACCCCGAAAAGAGCTGGGCATCGCGCGCGCCGCCGAAAAACATGCCCAAAGCCTGTGACCTCGGCTTCTTAACCCACTTCTTACCAAGCAGTGGAGCCTGCCTCTCATACAGCACCCGTCGCACTGTGGACGGTACTGCGTCAAATAACATCGATCGGTCAAGGCCGTGATTACCAACCTCGGTACAACAACTTGCCATATAACTAATGCCTCAAGGACGCAATGTTGCTAGCTACGGTCTTAGGCCGCGTCCGCTCTTTGCAGCCCAAGTACTCATATGAGTAGATCTGGTCAGAATCCAGCCATAGCTTCATCGGCACTTTTCTGTTACTTCAGAAAGCAATGAGGAAGGGGCGAAATCAACATCAGCAATGGAGATCACGGCATGGTCATTCTCTGTCCTCCAGTATAGCCGCGTCCTTGAAGCAAAGAACAACCAAGGAAACCCCCGTAGCAAGAAATAAGCACCCCCGTCTGAGGCAGAGACTGCTTGAGCCACTCAAAATCATTCTCGTCCTTAACCTTCATGTCCTTGGGCTTCTTCATGACCTTGTAACCAGGATTGCATGTATACCTGCAGCTGCTCACAGGTACCAGAGCTGACGCAAAATCCCAGAAGCCTCCATGAACAGATCTTTCTGGTGCACATGTATTGTCACCTCGCCAATCGCAGTGATCATGGACAGTCCTAATGCAAACATTCGTGGCTGAGGAATGCCATGATCTAATTCCTCAACATTCCTCAACCATAATTGGCCATAATGTTTGAATTGAGAGCACATTCTTCAGCAGCCACCTGTCCCCGCCGCAGCCCACACCACCACCGCCGCCGCCG